TCTGTAGGACAACGGGCCTCAGAAATGGAGGAGAGGAGATCCATCATCTGAGGGATGCTCAGACTGCAGGGACTATTCTTTGTATACAGGACATCCTTTAGAGGTTTTAATGCTTCTGACACTGGAAGGGACAGTGGGTGGAAGGAGGAGCTTGGATCCAGGAATGACAAGTAGTTTTTTCTTATAAATTCTGGGATTTCTAGATATATTAAAACTCTGCTTGTCCAGAATATTAATTTCCAAAAGAAAACCAAGTTTATATCTTTCTCCAATACTTATGACGTCTTTACTGAACACATCAATGTTTTTTCAGAAATCTTTTTGAGATTTTTTTTAGAATCTGCTGGATGTTGTCAGGAGATGGTCTGAAAATTGTCCATGTTCCATGTATCGTAAGGAATTCAGGATTTATTATAGAAATCACATAAATTGGTGAAAAAAATGTGTAAATGTGTTTCTTCTAAGGATAAACCTAGATAATCTAACATTGACACTGCTGTTTTTCAGTTTGTGGTGTCTGGCTCTCTGGCTCTGGCAGCAGGACGACGCACTTCCGTCAAACTGGTGAAGTTTTGCCTTTAAAAAAATAATTTAAAAAAAGTTTGACTTTAAAAGAAAAAAATCTGTTCTATTACAACAAATTTCAGATTTCTGATATTTACATGCTGCATGATTATAATGCATATTTTCTTACAAGACCTTTTGATTTATTTGTAGTCAGTTTTTTTCAGATTCAATTGTAAAAGTCAATTAGTTTTCTTATAGTTTGATCTTATTAAGCTGTGATTTCTGTTTCTAACCGCACAAGTGGAATTATCAAATTGTTTCTGGATTAAATCTAAGTGGCTCCTGTATCTGCAGGTCTGGTATTCTCTGGTGTCCAATGTGTTCAGTGTCCTGCTTGGCCTGGCGGGGGTCATCTACGACTGTTTTCTTCTGGCAAGTGGACCCACCAAGGTTTTCTGCGAGTTTGACACTCCGAATACCCCTAAGCCTTCAGGATGGGATGACAAATGCTCCCGACAACTGTGGAGACTCGAGGTAAGTCTGAGAACAGATGATTTGAACGTGTTATGCAGAACATTTAGCCTTACAGCAGGACAAATGTTTACTTTGTTTTATTAAAAATCCCCTTTAGCTGCTGGCTAAACCTTTGCCATTCTTCCTGGGATCTCAACTTCATGAAAACATACCCACCCAACGCTTAGCAACATGTAGGCTAGCCTGACGTAGTCCGACTCAATTCTAGTCAGAATATGAGTCTGATACTGCTCCATAGAGCTGTGATTATGGGGCGTGTTTCGAATGAACCAGGGAAAAAAAAATGCCTCTGCACTCAATTGGATAGACCTACAACCAATAAGAGCAACGGAGTGCGTGACGTATGTTAAGCCACGCATGGTTGTTGTCAACAAAAATCAAAGCGTGCAGTTGCACGCCTAGAATAAGAAGATGAGCCTTGATCGCGTTTCTCTGTTCCTCTTTTAAAATTAATTTGCTGTCGATATCTTCTAGAACAGACCTAATAGCAGAATCTACACACCTCAACTTTCCAGCGGCAGCCATTATTGTTGTCACCCAAGCGCGCTTTGGTGACGTGGTTGATTACGTTACTGTTGATCATCTGTCCATCATCGTATAAAGCCCGCCCTGACAATTTGATTGGCCCGCCAGATATTGTGCGAGCATACTCGCGCTACTATTGAGCAATGCCAGACCGAACTTCCCGACCTCAAACGTTGTGGGCGGGACTAAGTTCGGAATGGCACCCAGGCTATATGTAGGCAACAGGACCCAGAAACGACATTCACACTGACATAATGCATAACAACCTGGTTTCATCCTAACTCTTCTAAACAATCATCTTGCCCTTTCTTCAGAAGACATTTGGTTCATCCCGGATGACTGTTGCAGATCCTAGTTCATCTTAAATGTGTTGCTTGTGGAGCTTTCTTAGCTTTTTATTGGCAAGATACACCTGAACAAGTTGTGAATGTATTGAATTGTTTGAATTCATGATTAGGAATCTGAATAGGTTTTAAATTTGCTTCTAAAGTCATGCATTGTGTGTAAATCTACAGTGATCAATAAATATTCTCAGCTCTCCTTGAACATCCCTAGTTATTTGCATATTTTAAAATCCTATTGCTTTCAAACGACACAGTCTTTTATGTTACAAAGAAAAATTACACCCAACCAGTGGGTTATGCATGCTTATGACCTTCTGGAACCTCCATAACTTTTTTTGGAGCCTCTAGGGATTAAAAAGTAAATGCAAGAGTGCACATCCTGAACATTGGCTGTTTATTTTTCCATATCCGTCTTTATGTTTGCTGTTTTATCTTTTAGGTGCCCATTTACGGACTCCTGGGCTTCTTCCTGGTCCTGCTTGTCCTGCAAGTTTGTGTCTCTGTCACTGTGTGCGTGTTCTCTAGAAGAGTCATCAGAAGCAGCAAGCATTACTTCCTCATGGTAAACAGTGTTACAGATCCCCACACTTCACAATCGCTATCATACCGACTATCCACTACTTACTGTGCTGACTATTTTTCAGCCTTGTCACTAGGAATAAAGGAAGCATTTACGACTCTAGCTGCTGCACAGACGGATAAATAAATGATCTGAATCTTTTTTAAATACAATTAGTATTAAACTAATTGTAAAGTATTTTCTCTGTATCCCTGGTTCAAATGAATCTAACATGTTGCCGACATCTGTAAAGTCACAGAGCCTCCTAAAAGTCTGCTAACACATCTGTTCTTATTGACACGCTTTTACGTTTTACAGGATTCTACTCCATTTTTAAAAACATTTTCATTTAAATCTATAAAAGAATATAGATTTAACGTTGTGATAACTTTGTGGCATGCATTTTTTTTTAAGTCAATACATTGTTGGCGCACATTTGGCTCCAATTTAAACTGCAAGTCCACACGCTTTGCAAAGTATCTCAACCTTAAGGAGAGCAACTGTAAATGCCATTTTTAAGTCCTACCTCTGGTTCCGAGTTGGACTTGGGTGTGGACTTTGACTAGGCCATTCTAAATCAGGGATCTGCAGCCTTTACAATCCAAAGAGCCATTTTTGCCCTAAGTGCAGCCCAATTAACCTCTTTAGCCCCACCATTTAACATTCTTTTATAAAAAAGACATTTTTGGTAATAAAAGAGACAATTTAAAAAATATATATTTTAAAACAAAATAAGAAACATCACATTTTAGAAAAAGAAGGTGGATATAAAGTTGTTGAACTTTATGACAAGAAAATCTAATCTAGAAAATTATTACTTTTTGGTATTATTCTGTTGAAGTATTTTTTTCATTAAAAAAAAACTAAAAATTCGCTACAGCCTGCCTTTTTTGTTATATATTAGAAAAAAATTTTGTAGTCAAACCTATGAAAAACGTTATTGAAGATTCAAAGTGCCATTGGCAGCTCTAGAGCTGCAGGCTTTAAACCCCTGATGTAAACCAGCCTTTTGCAGATTTGGCTTTGGGCTGCAGGAGACTGGCTGGGATTTCCTTTAAACTTTTATATAACAACAATCCTGCAAGATCAATTTGCAAGTGTTTTTAAGACTTTGGTAATAAAGGGGAAGAGAAAGGAAAATGGAGAGAACAGACGACAAAGAAATATAGCTGCAAAGATTTACTATTTTTTTTTTTTTTTTTGGAGAAAAAACTCCCTGTCAGATCTGGTAATTATTTTTCTGTTAAAATTAACATGGCACCTTTTTTAAGTGTAAAGACTTATCAGTGATTCTGAAATTGTAGAAACCTTTTACCCTGAGTTTCATCTCGGAGTTGCAGAGACATTCAGAACTTCCATAAACATCTACTTTGACTCTTTAAACTCTGCACACTAAAAGCTTTAACCACCACATTCACTTCTTTTGTTTTTAGAATTGTATTTGTCAGAAGCATGTTGCCATTTTTCTTTAGCCTTTACAATTATGCACTGTTTGTGTTAGTGTGTCATATAAAACCAAAATAGAATACATGAGAGGTTGTGGTTGCAATGGGACAGATATGTCTGAATTTTTAAAACTGGATAAATACATTTGCAGGTTTCTGCATTATTAGTGTGAAACAGCACCACAGTCAGATAAATGAATTTAAGGGATACTGGGAAAATATGAATAGGAACATTTAAGACCTCAATCGGCAGAGCAGTTCAGTTCAGACTCTGTGTTGATTCAACATTTAAAAAGTGTGTAAGGGTGTAAACTCTACCCGACACAGCAGAAGTTTAGACCTGATGTATCTGAGCTTTTTTTCCACCATGGAAATATATAAACATAACATTTTGAGTTCAACTGAAGATTCATGATGCTGCAGCGATGGTCGGTTAAAATGAATTCAAATAGATTTAAACTGGTTTCATACAGGATTTTATCTATACAGAAGTATGTACTACAGTAATTAAATACCTTGGAATTAGCTTTGTGTGTTACACAAAATATGTCTAATTTTTAATATGTGTTATTTTTTTTCCCTCTAGGAGGAGCACTATGACCAGAGATCTCCGATTCTTGCTTAAGCATCTGAACGCAGCAGCCAAAAAGAATCCCTCTGAGGAAAAACTGAATATTGTTTAATAAAAGCAACTGATAAAAACAGTAAAACCACTATTAATCTTCCATACTCTACTATAATCTTTTTGTTTTTTGCATTGTTTGTTCTGCTAGCAATTTTTTTTTTATACTAGAAATTTAATGCACTTTGTTAAAAGGCTCTATGTGTCTACACCTTGAAGCTTTTTCTCTCAGGTTCTTTTTCCTGAAAAGAGATCACTAACGACAATCAGAGAAGTTGCTTAGAATTACAGAAGGCAGTTGCATATCCCCGGGCTAACCTCTCAGGAAGTGACCCAGATAAACAGTTAAAAAGGCATTTTATACATCTCCAGTCTGCCACATCATCACATTTTACATCATACATGTTAGCAGATGAGGAGACATCCATGGCTCCAGCGTTATCAAAATGTTATCAAAATAATATCAAAATATTACCCTTTGTTCTTAGCTGAAGGACACCATTCTCAATCTATTCCCAAATATTAAGTTGTAATAAACTTGCACATCATTAATGATAATTATCCTAACAGCTTTGTTCCTGCTGCAGGTTGGGGTTGCTTTGAATTCTCTTATTTGTCTTCTTTGCTTCTAATATAAACAACCAAACAATTTTTGTATCTTATGAAAGATGGAAATGTACAATATATAAAGGATAATAAACTCACTTTACAAAACTGTTGTTTGTAAATTGTCTGTAATTATGTGATATATGATATATATGATCTTACACTATCTGCATACAGAATTGCTCTTTTAATATCATTTATTGACAGAATTTCCATTTAACTTTTGAATAATTAAACACATGAAGGCCACTACATTATTAAAATATACATAAACTGACTGTAATGTTGCCTTTAAGAAGTACCAAAAAGA